CGGTTTCGAAATATGGAAGAATATTGTGAGAATCAACAAAAGCTGGAATAAATGAATGAGTCATGCCATGTGTTGATTACTGTGCTACATTGCAGTTTTTTAAACAGATATAAAGATACAACACGGTTTCGAAATATGGAAGAATATTGTGAGAATCAACAAAAGCTGGAATAAATGAATGAGTCATGCCATGTGTTGATTACTGTGCTACATTGCAGTTTTTTAAACAGATATAAAGATACAACACGGTTTCGAAATATGGAAGAATATTGTGAGAATCAACAAAAGCTGGAATAAATGAATGAGTCATGCCATGTGTTGATTACTGTGCTACATTGCAGTTTTTTAAACAGATATAAAGATACAACACGGTTTCGAAATATGGAAGAATATTGTGAGAATCAACAAAAGCTGGAATAAATGAATGAGTCATGCCATGTGTTGATNTAACTCAACTGAACATACTTTATTATTAAGAAGTTATTAATATTTACCATTAATATGAACTTTCTATAAAAATTCTTTGTCACTTAAATCAGTATTTTTAAAATACGACAATATATTTGAGGAAGTTCCAAAAGGAATAATTTCAATTGTAAAATTTTTTTAATATTCAGTTTGTCATGTAATAAATAATAAACATATAACAGAAATTTATTCTTCCATATTTCGAAACCGTGTTGTATCTTTATATCTGTTTAAAAACTGCAATGTAGCACAGTAATCAACACATGGCATAACTCATTCATTTATTCAAGCTTTTGTTGAATAAAAGCTTTTGTTCAACAAAAGCTTGAATAAATGAATGAGTTATGCCATGTGTTGATTACTGTGCTACATTGCAGTTTTTAAACAAATATATATATTTTATATCCATCATGTATGTGTTCATTTTTATGGTTTCAAATGTATAAGAGTAATAGTTTATGGTTATATTTACGTTGCATGATTTTTTATATGTTTTGAATGAGAATTTATTTATTTTATTAAATATAGTAATATCTAGAAAATTTATTTGCTGTGTTTCTCTACTTCAATCTGAAATTTTATATTTTCACTAGCTGCAAGGACCCGCTTCGCTGGGTTTTTATTTGTTCGTACATTTGTATGTAATATAGTTTTTGTTTTTTATATATAAAAGACAGTTTTTCTGAGTAATCTGAAATCTAGCTGCAAGGACCTGCTTCACTGAGTTTTTATTTGTGGGCAAAAAGTAACGATAGTGAAGATTAAGATAATTATATTATAGCCAATCTTACCCGTTTTCACAGAATGCAAGAATTAGGTTCCCCATTTCCAGACTAATTAGAGACCTTCGGCCATATTCTGGTTACTGTCTCTGGTATCTTGACTCTCACAAGCCGATCACTGATTGGCTAATCATTTGGATTAGCCAATCAGCGACCGGCTTGTGAGAGATGAGACACCAGAGACAGTAACCAAAATACAGCTTCTGGTCCCGATTCTATTTTTGAACGTCTTCTGTTCACGTCCAGTCAAACGAACTATTAGAGAGGTTGAGGCGCACGTTTTAAACGTGTAAACGTGTACGTGTGACGTTCGGCGCCGCTTTCCTGTACACCTAAAAGTTTGACAGTGGTGTTTGGATAGTCGGTGGAATCACGCTTGACATTCCAAACACCATCGTCAAACTTTTAGGCTTACGGGAAAGTGGCGCCGAACGTCACACGTACACGTTTACACGTTTAAAACGTGCGCCTCAACCTCTCTAATAGTNAATAAACCGTTTTATTGTAATTTGTCTTTTTAAATTATTTTGAGTCGATATTAAAATTTGAAAAAGGGGAAACCTAGATCGGTAAAATACGCAAATTTCTTCCTACAACTTCGGTCATTGTTCGGGGTACAGTTAAGATTTTAACGAAGTTCGAGCGAATACATAATTAGCAAAAATGTCGAAATAAAGTGATTAAACAAAAATTATTATAAATATCGTAAATAACAGTTTACAAATGCATATATAGAGATATTTTTTGAAGGGGGGAAATGGTCTTCACAATTTGAAATCGATCGTACACACTGTGCGCGAATGCTTGTGTAAACGCGCGCCATCTATCGTAGGATAAATGTACTTCGCGGAAGTGTATTAAAAAATTAAAAAACTTTCCAAAGTTTCATGGCAATCGTACTATGCCACAAACCTTCACCGGAGTATATTAAACAACTTCCCAAAGTTTCACGGCAATCAGATAAACGGTGTGGTAATGCATGAAGGACAGACACACATACATTCATTTTTATATATATAGATTAAGCAGTTTTATGAGTTACTGAACTTTTTCAAGCTGTATTATTTTCTAATATAATTTATACCAGGGGTCGCCAAAGTGGTCGATATAAACCCCAGGGGTCGATGCGGCTAGGGAGTCGATTAGGGGGTCGATGCGGCTAAGGGGTCACAACCTTTTTTTTTTTTTTTTTGCTTAGACAGTGACCACAACCCACAACTTTTTTTTTTTCCGCTCATACATATACACTTGCAATAAAACTTTACGGTGGGGGTCAATGTGAGGCTTTGGAAAGTGATTGGGGGTCAACGGTTAAAAAAAGTTTGGCGACCACTGATTTATACATTTTGTCATTATGTTATTTACATAAAAAAATAATTCTATTAGTATAAACAAAGTCATTAGTATAAAAAAATAACAAAAGATATAGTAATGTTGTCAATATTTGTAGCTTTGAGCTCATTTTAATCAATAACAAATCATTAATAGATTTTGAAATATAGTAGAGCCCTGATCCAAGGTAATGTGAACCGAGAAAATGTCAGATAATCAAACACTCAGAAAAAGAAAGAAAAAGTGCTTAGTACAAAGTTATCAACAAAATAGAAGAATATTGTTATAAAGTGAAAGTGTTATGATGATTACAATTAAAATTTCTTTAGTCTTTTTTTTTCTCTTTAAATTCATGAGCCATCATTAGATATTTTTTTGATTATAAATTACTAACTAATCATCAACATATCTCACCTGGAATGTTTACTATTTACACCTGGAAGGTTTTGTATTTTTTTTCTATGTTTTTCATCACTAACTCTGCTAGTTTTGGCCCCATCTTCGATCCCATAATACCTAATAGCTGAGAGAAAGTGTACCGTTTTTACTAATTCGGATTAAAGAGAGATACACTGAATCTAAATTATAGTTGTTGATGCAATGCCCTGAATTTCATAATGTTAGAATATATTACTTCGGATTGTGAGTCCCTAAGTCACTAACTGCATTCATCCAAATTACATGATCAACGCTAAATTAAATGAAATACAATAATTTGTTTTGTGAAGAAAACCAGCATTGAAAATAATGTTGTTCCAATATATATACGTTATTGCTAAAGCTCGAAAGTCGTTAATGTGTACATTACCTAGTTAATCTGGAAATTAAATACGGTGATCCGTTAACGTGCGGAATCAAGAGTTTTTCGCATTTTACCTAGGGAATCTGCAAACTAACGGCTTCCGGATCGTTAAAGTTCGAAAGTTTGTTTCTCTCATTTCCTTTACCTACTACTTCCCAAACAAAACAGAGCAAAACCTGATGCACGCCCAATTTATCTGTGATTCTTACTTGTTAGTAAAACATTATATGGCTTTTATAAACTTGGTACTAAAACAGGTATTTTAAAACAATTGTATGCAAAATCTGAATTTAGTGTTTGCAAAGAGAGATTTTCAACGAAAGATGTTCCTGCTGTAGAAATATGTTTACGTCAAACAGCAATAAAACAATCTTTTGGTACTGGGCAGAGTTTCAGAAATGTGACTGCAAATCTATGTGTACCACAAATACGTGTGCTTGTCGCGAAAACCAATCGCTACTTACATCAAAGTGTCAGTAATTTTTAGATTGCACTAATAAGTAAGCACAGTTTTAGCATATGTTTTGCAAATTCATTTCCCTAATTGTAATATTATTTTAAACCGTTTGATTTTTTGTATTACAGTTTTTTAATTGATTGATGATTAATTCTATCAAATAATTTGCCGATTGTTTGATTGTATTAACATGATTCTTTAGATATCGAAAATTAATTAAATAACATTATGTTGATTTAAGCGTACAAAAAATGTTGTTGTTGTTCCAGCACAGATCTTATTTTCAGTTTACCGAGTGCCTAGTAGGTAATGTGCAAATTACGTAGATACTCTGCACATTATCTAGGTAATTTGAAAAATGGAACAATTTTCGAAACTTTAACTGGTCACCCTAGTTAATCTGGAGATTAGCTGGGTAATGTACATATTAACGGCTTTCGAGCCTTAGCGGTAACATATATACAAAATAACTCACGAGTATCCAGTAAGATAGAAATGTTTTTGTAGTTGTTATACTGGTGTATATATAACTGGTCTTATAGTTGCGTTCCATAGATTTTTCTATGAAACAATAAATCAACAATTATAAATAATCTGATAAAGTGTGATTTGTGTACCTCCGGAATAATGAAAGCAAAACAAATATGAAATTATTTCCACGTATTAATATTATTTCAGGTTATTCAACCAATTGTAAAAAATTGCAACCATACAGCGTTATGCACCGGTACGAACTGTAAAGCAACGTATGCAAAGTTCAGATTACGTATAAATTGCCGAATTTCGCGAAAAATACGAAATTGTTTGGTAATCCGAAAATTTGAATAAATTAGTGCAATATTGGTGCCGTAGATACCAATTAACAAACTTTTACTGTATATATTTACTATAAACAGATAGGCTTTATAACCATTCTTATGTGATATTTGCTATCATCTACAATAATAAATTCATAATACAATTAAGAATAAATAAATATAATATTAAATAATAACAATAAATAACATTAAATATTAACGATTTTTTACCGTATATGTTAACTTTAAGTCGATATACGATTCATATAAAATAAGTATATAATATATGTAAAAAATACGTGTATTGTTAAGTGATGTGATTTATTCCGCATAAAAGTATTAATAAATTATTTTCAACTTACATTATGAAATTTGCTGACGTCAGTTGCTAGAAGATTCACCATTTGTCCTATATTAGATTTCTCTAGAGAGGAGGAACTTAACTTAATTGCCTGAAAAAAATTTTATACAAAAAAGTGTTTTTTCGTATTGTTTTATGTTTCAATAAAATTATAAATTATAACATTTAGTAAGCCCTTGAATAAGGAAATATATAGATTATTAACATAACATTTTTATAATCTATAATTGTATATTCGAATAAATATTAATTTTTTTCTTGATTCTGTAAGTAGTATTATTAGATTAATGCAGTCGGTTGAGTCTGAATCATCGATATAGCATAAAGTATACAATGAATAAACAACAGATGTATTCATCTATTATTTACGTGTAAATGATTCAGTTGAAATATTATCTAAATTGCACTGAATGGGCAACGTAATATAATCTATATGTATTTGTAATAAGCTTGGTGAAGTTCATTTGGAGCAATAAGTATAAATGTCAATAAGTTTTTCATGAAATATGTACGTGCAAATCGTCTAAATGATACCAATTTTTTTTTTTTAATTTCAACGTTGTTACTATGTATATTTGCGATACTTACTAAAAAGAAACCTTATTATTGTGTATCAAATATAATTAAATTTTATGATTTTCACAACTCCTGTACATTCTATTAAGAAAAATTCTTAATAAAAAAATCACACATCAAATTCTGTAGTTTTTTCTTACTTTTAACTTCATTATACCCTTTCCAATAAGCGACATTTAAAATTTTATAATTAAAAACACATAACATATTTGATATATTAAAGTACAGTGGGTGATCGGATAACGAACATAATCCGTTTCATGACTTTATTCGCTATCCGAATTGTTCCTTAACCGATTATCGATTTACCATAAGTTTATATAAGAATTTGAATTATTCGTTTTTCAGACCCCCAAAAAAGAAAAAATATAAGCCTATATACTTTCTTACTGCGTTCATTTATACGTTTTAATAAAAATACATATATACACAGTCCTGCATTTTTATAAATCATTATTTTTCAGTTTGTGGAGGTTAAAGAATTTATCTAACGTCGATTGCTTTTCTCTGTTCTCCATTTTTCAAAAGTAATCAATAGCATTGTAACTGTAGAGATCCTCAACCTGAATTGGATGCCATTATAAGACCCTCCTTCGGACATCATTCCACTTCAAACAATTGTGTAATAGCAAATATCGTCATTAATTCTCTTTTTCAGAAAAAAACATTCGCCGAGTTTCTTCGCGTTTTTCTGTCGTCAGATCCGTTTCAGATTCTATTATGAGCTCTTCAATGTTCTTAATTTTTGAGATGTAATTTTTGGTACTCCTTCAGCTACTTGAGTCTTCAGTATCTTTGTTGAAAAAGATTGAACTGCGGTCTATTGTAGACCTTTTTCGAGCCATACTGCCCAGCATCAACAGACATCAGATATCTGCTCACTCTCTACCTCTGCTATTATACTCTCACCTTTCGAAAATAAAAACCGACATAAAACTTCAAAAAGTGCCTTGCCTGACAGTCTCGCGAATACTGTAAAAAAATTGTTTTTGTCAGAAAAATAAAAGTCTGAAATTACGAGGGATAGTTTCAAAATTCGGAGAAATATTATCCGATCAGTATATATCGAGTTGAGCGTCAATGTTGAAGTCTCCAGCGCTCCAAAAAGTTTGGAATTCTTGTCCGAAGACAAGGGAAGACCAATCGGTATTCATTATTTTACGTCACTTCTTCTTGTGTCTGTTCTGTGAGGTGTTTGTTAATCCGATCAAGTGTTCTTTGTCCGTACATAAAAATCTTTCGCGAAAGTGTTCGCTATCCGATTTGATTTTCAACCGATCACTCACTGTATAATTAAACTTTAATGTTGAACGAAATTTGACATATCTAACATACAGCTACTTAATTTGATTAATTCGAGTTATTCCTTTTAATTACTTAAAAATTATTGGAAATAAAGTGATTTCTATAGGTTATTATCTACTTTGACAACATATAATAAATCATTAATTATTCAACAGTAAAAGGTTGTTCAGTGCGCAGCAGGTGTTTCTGATTACAGTTTAACGGTGTGTGGATTCTAAGTAAATTTAGTGAGAAATTAAGACTAGAGTCTGTAACCTGTCGCGAAAATTGAAGCAATAATGGAATGTCATTGTAATTAGAACTCTAAATGCTGAAAGTTTATAAGTATTCAATCGTTGGAGGAGGAAGAAATCTATAGTGGGTCGTCAGTTGACTTGATATATACCTTCGTTTTAATAAAATCATTATTGAATACAATGTTAATGTCTAAAAAATGGATGCCTGCTAAATTCAGTTGTTCCAATTTAAACTTTAAACCTGTCTTATTGTAATTTATCTCATTAAAAAAATGTATTTTTCTATCGTTCCTCTATGAAATGAATGTGTCATCCACATATCGTTTATATAAGGCTAGTAGCCCGGGACGCCCCCTAGTGGGCGTTCTTTACAAATTTCAATGAGGCACGGTTCATTTGACTTTTTTGTTTTTATCAATATGCTCTACAGCTCTGTTAAAGTCCCAATGGTAAGATTTACTCCACGAATGAAGGGGTGGCAACCTCGCAAACTGAGCCCCCCTGTGCGAACAATAAAGTCAAAGGAACCATACTCCTTCTCATGACCCTTCCATCTCCCCTTCTCATGAGATATAAGCCCCTGAAAATTTGCTTAAGTCATTTCCAGTTAAGTGATACAGTGGTCAAAAGAGAGCCTACTGCGAAAAAAAAATTCACGCGCGCTCGCGCACGTGAATTTTCTCGTGGACGAGCGCGGGGTCACGCGGGGAATTTTCTCGTGGAAACTCGGGGGGTCGCCGATCCGCTTATTCGCAAGGTAAATTGTGGCAAACATGCGGATACGTGACCGGTAGAATAATTTTCGGAGGGCTATATCTAGGGAAAGGTCGCGTGTAGGGGTATGGTTTATTCGACATTTATTGTTTGCACAGAGGGCGAGTCGCCACTCCTTCATTCAAAGGGCAAATCTTGCCATTTGAATCGCGTCATACGGATCTATATTTCTACTTATTAAACATTCTATAAATACTTTAGAATAGTTTAATTTGTTTATTTACCTCCGCTTGTAAACCTCAATTTTAAATATATCCGCCATTTTTTCAACAAATTTCCCGTGTTTCAATGCGCGACGTTCACTGAGTAACGTGATGTTGTAAACATGCGGCGCAAGGTTAATAAAGGTATATAAGGCAAGGCAAAACACATAATAAATATTTATACCATTCCGTGGTATAAATAATAAATTCATATCAATAATAAATTTCTATTATTAATAAATATAATTTATTGTTAATTTAAAATTATCGCTTGGGCGCCTGTAGTGCCCGTTTTTTGCATACCGTTATGGGGACGGATACCAGTTCAATGGGTTACATATATATAGATTATTTCATCTCTGAAATTGTTAATAGTATTCTGCTCCAGTTTCCATAAAACCAACTCACACTGTAAGCCGCGCATCGGGCTGCCAATGTCCGGCTTACACTTTCTTTTGTTGTATATTTCTAGTTCAGAGCTGAAGAATGACTGCAAACATACCAGATTCTGTAGCAGCTCCATATCCTTAGGAAAAGCCGACACATCAGAGTTCAATCAGCGTTTACTGTCGTTTAAATTGAAAGAAATTAATTTAACAAGCGTGCATTTTTAGACATTAACATTGTATTCAATAACGGTTCTATAAGAACTAAAATATACATCAAGCCAACTGACGACCCTCTATACATTACTTCCCCTCTAACTTTTGCGTTGGTAATAGAAGTTAAATAGGATTAGAGAGTCGCTACGACATTGTGATTTCGAGCAAAAGTCATTGAGTGATTAATAGGTTCTTATGCAGATTTCAGTAATAAAACAGAGAAGAAAACTATGATCCACAGTGTTACTAAGTTCACATAGAGCAGAGTAATGTCCACTATTATGAAGGAGAATGCGGAATACACGAACACAAGCTTACTGTTCAAGCAAAAGGGCTCTCATGGTATATAACTGGAGTGGCCAAGCTCCTTGATAGTCCGAGCCATTTTTCAAAATTTGAAATTTTTCGCGAGCCGCAATTAAATACGTATTAAAAAGGTATGCAAAAATTTCCAAATTACAAATTATATCCGTAGCAAGAGTGATACAAATTGTTTCCTCCAGAACACAATGTCAACTGTCCATTGCAATGACAGTTTACAAATTCAAAATTGGTCTGGAGTCGGTCGATAACGGACGATTACGCCACTGTTTATGTTCGTTCGCGCAGTTTTCGATGACTCATATCATTCTTAACTTGGACGGTAATGAACTTTGTTATAACGTTGCACTTAGTCTTTCATATTTGTTGTTAGTAATTTAAGACATTTTGAAACACATACGGAACGATAATAATTTTTTAAAATATAATAACACAAAAATGAAAAGGGAACTCGGGTACATTTATCGAGAGCCACAAATAATCATTCAAAGGGCCGCATGTGGCTCGCGAGCCGCAGGTTGGCCACCCCTGGTATATAACTTGCTCAGGAATGACAAGGATAGGGTCAAGAAGGATGAGCGTGTATACGATTCTATATAAGAATGAGCAATTAGGTCTGAACAATGAGTATGTACTCGTAGGTGTCTACATTAGAAACCTCAGCAAAAGAATTAAAGAGCAAAATTACAATGTGAGCAAAGGGCTATTTGCAATCACGTGACATAATCGTATAATTCCATTCGTCATGCATATGCAATGTATCTTTCTGTAAGTCAGAAATAAAGTTATATGTTCGTTTGTAAACAAAACTTTTAACCTATTCGACACGTTAACTTATAATATAAATACTGGAGTTTGCAATGTGTAATTTTACGCGTGATTGTAAATATCAGAAAGTGCCATATTCTTCAATTTGGTAACAAGCATCAGAACTGTCACTCATATAATGGCAAAATAATGTTTGTAGAGATAAAGCGAAGCTAGATACTACTGTAATATGTCAATAATAACTACTTATATACCAAAAACTAACAAACGACTGAAATGTTCAAATATAGCTATTGCAGATTTGATGACTTTAAAAACATTTTGATTTTGAACGATAAAATTACATACGTCGATTGCAATCAATTAATCAATCTTTTTTATTAAGGCACCATAGAAAAGATTACAGGTGAATTACAAAGTGTAGGAAATTATGCAATGCATTATAGCAGTTAAATAAGATGTAATAAAATAATACAAAACAATAATCATTAGAACTAGCGAAAAATACAATAAAAAAACAAATGAGAGTATAATAAAAAGTAAATTATAAATAACTATAGTAAGGTAAATAATCAAAATTAGTTAGCATGTTTACACAATGGTAACATAATAAAAATAGTGAATAGTACAATATATGAATATTATGAAATGACAGAAAAATAATAAAAACAAAAGTACAGGTAACCCCCGTATAACACGGTAGTTACGTTCCAAAAAATTGCCGTGTCATGCGAATCCGTGTTATACGAAACATAGAACTAATACGAAAAAAAGGGTTAGGTTCCAAAAATTAAAAAAACATGCTAGTATATTATCATAATTAAGATAAATATCTTCATGAAAATTTTTAAAGTGATATAGGCCTATATTAATATAAATTAAACAATGTTTTCTTCGTCATCACTAAAAACACTATTAATTAACCGAGAGCGTTTTCTTTTTGGCAAGTTATCCTCATCCACTAATCATTTTTCTGAATTATCTTCAAAACCATGCTTTACCTTTTGCAAAATGTATGTAATTTTNCTTATATTAATTTTCTTCAAAAATATTTTAAATTAATGGACATCAATCGTAGGTTTAATATGGCATGTTAATTCATGATTTGTCTAATAAATTACTGATTACATATAGTAATTTTAATAATTTTGAGTGTATAATATAAAAGTTCTGTGTAAAATTGATTAAAGCATAAATAAGCACCACGAGTTCTTTCATGTAATGCAATAACTTTATTTAATTCAATTTCACCATAATTAACCACGAATTTTTGAATGCAATTTATATTTCGTAAATGTCAATTGAAGGGTTTTTATTAATTAACTTGCTTGGCAGTTAATCGAAAAACGAAAACCGAATTTTTCGAAATTCGTGTTTGACTGTATATAAAATACTTGATGGCAATAACAGAGGACTTTATATAAAAATTTATGTAGCGTTGAAATTTGGACTGGCAAGTGTTGGTTTACTGAATTTTGTATGTGCAGTACGTTCATTAAAAACTGCACTTTAATCACGGTGTTGAGAAATTTTTCATTTTAGTTTCCATTGAACATAGCAATTTTGAAAAAACATGAAAATCATCGAACGAAAAATATGCTCTACATCATAATTTTTTAATTGACAGCTAATGTATACATAATGACATAATATATTTTGTGAAAAGTCACGAAAAACATAACACGAAGCTTCACTTTAAGTCACTTTCGAAAGTAATAATTCAATGCAACGTTTCATGCACCATTCAGATCTTCAATATATTTAATTATTACACAAGAATTACCAAATAATTTTGAAAAGTTCTTATTTTAATCAACTATTAACTAACTTAATTAAAACATGACACTCGAATTATGTACAGCTCTTGTGTTGTTTTTGTACTTCACAAGACATTTGTTTTCACTTTCCAATACGCCACTAATTTGAATAAACGAAGATAACGTGGAATATAAGCCACTAATTACCTGAAATTATAATTAAACACAATTGAATTCTTACTAATTTCCGACAGAGTATTAGTTTTTGTTTTGCTTTGCAACCATCTTTACAAGTAATTCTAAATACTTACTCTTATAACGAAATTTCTCTTAATGTAAAAGAATCCTCCAACGGATATTCCAATGGGATTCTTTCCAAATCTCTTCATGAAATCGTCGATCTAANAAATAAATAATCAACAGAAATATATATAAATATAAGCTAATTAAATAATTAAATATGTTTATAAATATTATTCACTTTCAAAAAGTTCAATAGTTTGTCAAGATTTGGCCTCGGGCCCAAAATCTCTCCTAAACTAGCATTTCCGAAATGCTGTCTATGACTTTGATCAAAAGAAACGCAGTTGCAAAGTATGTGTTTAACACTTACACTAACATTGCAGTACTGACGTACTGGTTGATCTTCACCCTTCAAAAGGTATTGATGAGTCAACCGAGTATGTCCAATTCTCAAACAAGTAATAATAACTTCAGATCTCCTGTAATAAAGTTTCTTGTGTGTCTAATTTTCTATCGTAGGTTTGATCCCATGCAGTTTATTGAAGATTTGTGCATACCACATATTTTGCCATCTCTCTGCTAGTCGTTTTTTAACAACTAGCTTCAAATCATCTCCTTCAATACATATTGTATGCTGTGGAAGACTAGCTGATTTTGCAGCTGCGTCAGCTTCTTCAGTTCTTTTTATACCTACATGGCCTGGGACCCAACAAAATTTTACAAAGAGATAACTCGCAGTAAGGTGGCAAAACAGTTTACGGATTTTCATCACTATGGAGTGAGAACTAGATTTACACAAGATCAAAGCCTAAAGTGCACTAACTGAGTCAGTGTAAATCACGCAGCAACGATGACCTTTTCCAGTTACATACTTTAAGGAAAAGTAAATAGACTGCAGCTCTGCAGTAAAGATAGATGAATTCGATTCAATTTGTCCTGCAACGACTTTATCCTGGCAGACAAAGGCTAAGCCAACGTAATCATCTGCTTTAGAACCTTCAGTGTAAATGGGAATTAGATTCCTGTCATTGTGTTGGATTTCTGAAAAGTGCTATCTGTAAATGTAGTCTGGGGTGAAGTCCTTAGGAAACTGCTTTAAGCAGAAGTCAGCATTTATCACAGGAGTTGAACAAGGTGGTGTACTATCAACCTCAGCCTGTAGAATGTTGCTTGTGTTCAGGTCAATCGTGCTGCTTACATTCTCCATTCTAATGTCGAATGCAGGGACACTACTTGGGCAAGCTTCAAATAGCCTTTACAGCTGAGTATCTGATACTGTACAGTCAACTGGAGATTTAATACAAGATTCCTGTTTTATATAGTAAAAAGGAAACAACTGTTCTTTCCTGAGAAATAGTGGAGGCTCATAAGCATCCACGTACAAATTTTGGAGAGGAGAAGTTTGAAATGCACCAGTACATAAACGTAATGCTTGATGGTGGACTGGATCCAGCATCCGAAGAGTAGATTCTCGCACAGAGCCATAAACAACGCAGCCGTAATCCAGCTTAGAATGGACAAGGGCCCTATAAATCCTGAGCATGAAACATTTGTCTGCTCCCCAGGATGAGCAGCGTAATACTTTTAGAAAGTTCAGAGATTTTAAACACCTACTCTTCAGGTAGCGCAAGTGTGGCAAGAGTGTCAGTTTTTGGTCGAAAGTTACACCCAAAAACTTAGCATCATTTACCATTGGAATTTTATCCCCATTTAAATAAATTTCAGGATCCACGTGCAGTCCACGCCTTCAGCAAAAGTGAATGCACGAGGTCTTTGTTGCGTTAAATGTAAAGCCATTGGTCTTGGACCAGTCGTATATGCGACTTAGGGAGGTTTGCAGTTGTCTCTCAATGAAACTCATGTTACTAGATTGGCAGAAGATCTGAAAGTCATCCACGTACAGAGAGTGTTTCACACTGGGAGGAAGACAGTAAGCTATGCTGTTGATTATGATTTGAAATAGAGTCACACTCAAAATAGAGCCTTCTTCTTGTGTGAAGAGCCTAGATAGTGTCTTGCCCATCCTGATTTGGAATCTTCGATTCCGTAGGAAATTTTTAATAAAAATTGTCAAATTACCCCACAATCCGAATTCGTACATATCACAAAGTATCCCGTATCGCCAACAGCGATCATAGGCCTTCTCTGTATCAAAAACCACAGACACTAAGTGCTGTTGTAAAAAATAGTATTTCATACCTTTAGCTATAGCAAAAGTAACTAGTTAGTGTATTTGAAAAACATTTTTTTTTAGCAATGCTTGCCAATATTTTTTGCTTTTAACAAAAAATGATAAAACGAGAACTTTTTCTCGCAATTTCGTTAAAGATATCGGTATTTATATATGATTCGTGACTTACTGTACAGCTTAGTATTTAAGAGTAGTATGCGTNCAAATCTTTTCAAAATAGACAGTTTGACCGGGCCCTTCTAAAAACCGGGCCCTAGACATTTGTCTCATTTGTCTATGCGATGATCCGGCCCTGCACACAGACTGTACTGTATTACATAAACAATTTAACTATAAATCTACTTTTATAATATATTATATTTCGTACTCACTTTCTTATATATAACACTGCAAAAAGCTACTTTTAATTTCATTCCATATAATTCTGTCATAAAGTAACTTGTGGTATATGTAAACACATAAATCGCAGTTATGACAAAAAATCCTACAAGTGCTACATAAATATTGTATGGACTGAATTCCTGTGTGCTGTCCAAATAATGTATTGTTAATCCCAAGAAGTATGCTTGGCCTGCAACTAACACTGTTTCCTGAAAAAAAAAATATTAATATCCTTAATTTGAATTATATTAACACATGCATTTTGTATTTCAGATTAGTTGTCATAGTACCTGAATGAGTAACATTAAAAATATTATCAAACATTTCCATCCAACAAATCTTAATACAGCTTTCAGTAAGAGAGTCGCTACGATATTGGGATTTAAAGAAAAAGTCATTCATTGAGTGATTAATAGGTTCTTATGCAGATTCCAGTAATAAAACAGAGAAGAAAACTATGATCCACAGTGTTACTAAGTTCACATATAGAAGAGGAATGTCCACTATTATGAAGGAGAATGCGGAATACACGAACACAAGCTTACTGTTCAAGCAAAAGGGCTCTCATGGTATATAACTGGAGTGGCCAAGCTCCTTGATAGTCCGAGCCATTTTTCAAAATTTGAAATTTTTCGCGAGCCGCAATTAAATACGTATTAAAAAGGTATGCAAAAATTTCCAAATTACAAATTATATCCGTAGCAAGAGTGATACAAATTGTTTCCTCCAGAACACAATGTCAACTGTCCATTGCAATGACAGTTTACAAATTCAAAATTGGTCTGGAGTCGGTCGATAACGGACGATTACGCCACTGTTTATGTTCGTTCGCGCAGTTTTCGATGACTCATATCATTCTTAACTTGGACGGTAATGAACTTTGTTATAACGTTGCACTTAGTCTTTCATATTTGTTGTTAGTAATTTAAGACATTTTGAAACACATACGGAACGATAATAATTTTTTAAAATATAATAACACAAAAATGAAAAGAGAACTCGGGTACATTTATCGAGAGCCACAAATAATCCTTCAAAGAGCCGCATGTGGCTCGCGAGCCGCAGGTTGGCCACCCCTGGTATA